CAATGTGCCCTGATTCCCACAAAGGATCGTTCATCTGCACTATCACTTCAAATCCCTTAACCTGTCACACATATCACTTATCAATTATGTTGCCCAACGGAATATAAATGTAACAGCTTCAACATGAACTGTATTCTATATGTACCAGCTCACTAACAATCCTAGCATGTGCTTCGTAAGGATCGGGGTACAAAGAGTCGATCATACACATTTGGTGAGCCTTTAAATCAAAGGCTAGACACCACCGATGTTCAACTTTTTCAATATCCAAATCTAACACTGGGCAGAACGCCTGTTAAACAAATAAGTACATTATATATATATATATATATATATATATATATATATATATATATATATATATATATATATATATAGGGGATGGATCCGGTAAGAACCCCTCCTTATATAAGAACCCTAGTTATATAAGAACCAATCTCAGCCGTAGGATTAAGGTAATTTAGACGGTTAAGATTAAAACACGTATTTTTCCTTATACCCTCTACCAACCGATCAAAATTTTCTCTCTCCTCTAACTTTCTCTCTCTTCGTGTTCATCACATTCTCTCTCTGCAAACCCCAAAAATCTCCATAGAAATTGCAATTTGAAGGATTTTCGACTCAGGTTTGTTTTTTTTTCGATTTTGTTCAAATTTCCATGAACTTAGCATGATGTTCATAGATTTTGCGATTTTTTGATTTGATTTTTGCGATTTTATGTTTCCGATTTTTTGATTTGATTTTGCGATTTTGTGATTTGATATTTGCGTTTTTCTGTTTTGATTTTAATGAATTTCGCATGGAGTTTGATTTTTTTGAGTTCGATTTTTTCAAATTTCGCGTTCGAATTTAGGGTTCTTTTTTTGCGGATTTAGGATTCTAATTTAGGGTATTCGAATTTAGGATTTAGGATTCAACACACAACAAACCGCTTGTTTTCTCTCTTTTTTGTGCAATAGTGTGTATAGCACAATGATTATATTAGTGGCTTTGCAGCCATTTTTCCCTGCTTATATTCATTGCTGTAATGTTCTGTATCAATTTTGATTCATTGATTAAATATATCAGGTTTTGGGTAATTAAACTCGTGTTATTAAAATTGAAAAACATTTATTTTTTTCCTTTTTTTGTTGGTCATTAGTTCAGTTCATAGTAGTAGTCATCCAAATTATGGTGTAACAACTACTTGTGTATAATGCCTACCCCGATACACTCAAGAATAAGAATAAGTTCTGTTAAAAATTGTTTGTTAAGTAAACAATTCAGGCTAAACAAAACTTTTAAACTCGATTAATGAGCAAGCATAGCTTGAACAACTTGGCATTACTTGTTCTGCTTGCATCAATTCGTCATGTCTAAAAACAAATCTGGCTTATTCTCTATGTTCTATTTTTTCTTATTTTTGCGGATCTATAGTTCGAATTTAGGGTTCAATTTTTGCTGATTTTTTCGAATTTTGATTTCGAAATTGGTGATGTTGGTGCGATTGCCCCTGCTTGTAGGGGTTGTGGTGTGGTGGTTGATTTATGCAACAACAGCTAATTGGTTAGGGGTTGTTGGTTGTGAACTTGTGATTGCAGGGCTGAAAATAAACTTTAGAACATAGGTAGAAAAAATTTGGAACATAGAAAAAAATTAGAACATAGGTTGAAATAATTTAGAACATGGTGTTGATCTTTCCACGTTGTTCTTGTCGATATGTTTATAGAATGTCAATGTTATGATCTAAAATACACTTTTAAGATACGCAAGCAACTGACATAGCTTAGCATGTTCTAAACTCTTTTTAAGCATGTTCTAAACTCTTTTAGAACATGGTGTTGATCATTGTGGAAATATATGAAGTAACCAGCATTATTCGTTCAACACTTCTGGTTATTCTCCATTTTGTTTTATGGGAAGTTTTGAAGCTACATGTGGTGCTCTTCCATTCTGGTCTAGACTGGTCCTCTTCTCTTTTGTGAACTATAATGATTTGGTGTTGACTGTTGTTGCCTAGCTGGGTTTGCTCTTTTCTGTTTCTTGCTCCTATCTGTGTCCTGCTCCAGCTTTCCTGCTTTGTGCTGTTATGTGCAGCAGTTGCTTGGTGTGCAGGCTGGCTTTCTCTGTTTCAGGCTGCTGTTTGTGGTGCTGGTTCAGGCTGTGATGCCTGCCTTGCTGTGTGTTGCTAGCTGTTTCCTGGTGATGCTGGTGCTGTTCTTGGTGTTAGCAGCCTAGTCTCCTGCTAGCTGCTGTTTCTTTGTGCTGTGTTGCTGTCTGGTGCTGCAGCTGGCCTTCTGGGCTCGGGTTGTTGCTGTTGTCCGTTTGGTGGTGCAGCTGGTCTGCTGAGGTCTGTTTCTGGTTGCTGCTGCTGTTGTAGGTTGGTGCTGCTGGTTCCACTTGCTGCTGCTGTTTCTGCTTGCTGTTATTGCTGTTTCCTGTTTTTGTTCGGGTTTTTTTTGGCAGTTTCTAGGCGTTGGTGTTTTGGTTTCTATTTGTTATTTTATCTTTGGCCTTTTCTTTTGTTCCCCATTTCTGGCAATAATAAAGAGTATAGTTCATTCTATATTATGGGACTGCTTTAGCCTTCATTTTTGTGTTGTCGATATTCTTCGCATTCAACTGTCTTGTTTTGGTAGGACAATAAGCTGGTGCATTCGAAAGTCTGAGCCTCTTATTGGAATTCCAATGGTTAAGGTGATGACTTCCCGTCTTGGGTCAGTAAACACAATGAACTGTCAATTAAACTTTCAGTTGTGTGTTGCAGGGATTATGCTCATTCAGGAGCGGCATGTTTAATTATGCTTAACTAAACCTAGATTATGTAACGGTAATGACACGATTGGAGCATTGTCTCATATTAGGGAAAGGTTAATTCACGGCTAACCTTTGATTCAAATACACCTAATTCCTACATTGAGTGCCGTTACTTACTCGTTACATTCTACTATCCCAAATTTTGCACAAATTATTGACATTGTTACTAATAAAACTTTAGAACATAGTTAGTAAAAATTTAGAACATAGAAAAGAAAAACAACTTTAGAACATAAGTAGACTAAATTTAGAATATAGGCAAAAGAATTTAGAACATAGGTAAAAGAATATTTAGAACATAGGAAAAAAAAAAAACTTTAGAACATAGGTAGAAAAAACTTTAGAACATAGGTGTAGAATATACGAACAACTTTAGAACATAGGAAAAATTTGGAACATAAGAAAATGATTTGCAACATAGTAAAAATTTAGAACATAGGAATATAGAACATTGGGAAAAAAAAAAAGATCATAGGAAAAAAAATTGGAAATTTAGAATATTGGGAGAAAAAAAAAGAGCATAGAAAATAAGTTTAGAACATATACTAAAAATTTAGAATATACGGTGAAAAAAATTAGAACATAAGGTAAAAATTTAGAACATATGATAAAGTTTAGAACATAGATAGAAAAAATTTAGAACGTACGGAAAAAAAAATAGAAAATAGGTAGAAAAAATTTTGAACATAGGATAAAATTTAGAGCATACAGAAAAAATTTAGAGCATATGAAAAAAATTTAGAACATACGAAATAAATTTAGAACATAAACAAAAAAATTTGAATATAAGATATATATTTAGAACATGGACAGAAAACTTTAGAACATAAACAATAAAATGTAGAACATAGGAAAATAGTTTAGAACATACATTTATTTAGAGCTTAGATTGAAAAATTTAGAGCTTAAGCAATAAATTTTAGAACATATGCAAATAATATTTAGAACATATGATAAAACCTATTAGCTCAATTGGAAGAGCATTATGCAAATGCATAGAGGATGTAGGTTCAATTCCTTCATAGGTTATCTTTATAAATAACTAAAAAAAACTTCAAATGTTTTTTTTTTAAAAAAAAATCCAATAAAACAAATTAAATTAGCACTAAGTTATATGAGCAGAAAATAAGTAGACTAAATTTTGAACATAGGAAAAAAAAAACTTTAGAACATAAGTAGACTAAATTTAGAACATAGGAAAAAACAAATTTAGAACATAGGTAAAAGAATATTTAGAACATAAGAAAAAAAAAAACTTTAGAACATAGATAGTAAAAATTTAGAACATAGGAAAAAACAAACTTTAGAACATAAGTAGACTGAATTTAGAACATAGGCAAAAGGTAAAAGAATATTTAGAACATAGGAAAAAAAACTTTAGAACATAGGTAGAAAAAATTTAGAACGTAGAAAACAAAACTTTAGAACATAAGTAGACTAAATTTATAACATAGGGAAAAAAAATTAGAACATAAATAGACTAAATTTAGAACATAGGAGTAGGCAAAAAAATTTAGAACATAAAAAAAGAATTACAGAAATGCCATTACTAAAGAAACTTTAGAACATAGGTAGTAAAAATTTAGAACTTAGGAAAAAAAAACTTTAGAACATAAGTAGACTGAATTTAGATCATAGGCAAAAGAATTTAGAACATAGGTAAAAGAATATTTAGAACATAAGAAGAAGAAAAAAAACTTTAGAACATAGGTTGGAAAAATTTAGAACATAGGAAGAAAAAAAAAAAAAAAAAAAAAACTTTAGTATATAAGTAGACTAAATTTGGAACATAGAAAAAAAAAATTAGAAAATAGGTAGACTAGATTTAGAACATAAGAGTAGGCAAAAAAATTTAGAACATAAAAAAAGAATTACAGAAATGCCATTACTAAAGGATGGTTTTAGATGGTTGGATCAAAACTAATAAATGGTTGAGATTGGTTCTTATATAAGATTGAGTTCTTATATAGAGGAGGGTTCTTACATGAGTCTTCCTCTATATATATATATATATATATATATATATATATATATATATATATATATATATATATATATATATATATATATATATATATATATATATATATATATATATATATATATATATATATATATATATTCATCCTCATGTACACTTATTGAACCTTGTCCATCAAAAGCAATTTTGTGTTATCTGACAGAGAAAGGGAGACTTACACATCTTATTTAGGTCAGTGGGATACTGAGGAAGGCTTTGTCGTACTTCCGCGCCAAATCCTCGTAGTCTTTCTTCCCCAAATTAAGCATCAACTACAACGAAAAGGCATTAATCAAAACATATTACTCAATTCAAGTTACCGTACGAAACTGCAAGACCTGCTGAAGAATATTCCTAAACAATTACCGCATATGTAGGGTCTAACATAATGTTCTTCTCTCTGCCAAAAAAACTCATGATGGTCCCAGGTTTTGTTGTACAACGTGGTTGTCATCCGCATGTATTGATCACAACCCGGGCTCTTAGACCGACAACCCGATAGCAATCCCTCTGAGTCGCATCCATGCCCCCACATTCAATTAACGATGCCCCGAAACTAAATGCACACATATACTCCTCAAAATTAGACTTAGAAATGCTAGACCCAATTCAATGCAATAATCAATAAAACCTTGAACTAGAAGTTTTACTTACATGTTTTCATCTTTCAATTCCTTCCAGCCTCGAATAAAGGTCATCAGCAGCTTATCCGTCGGATCATGCTTGTTGTTATTTTATGCAAAATCCAAGAAATCAACTCCCTCCGTTAACCCTTTAAATGATGAACAGTCTTTGCCATCCTTCCTTACTTCACCCACATATTTTTTTTATTGGAGGACCATTACTTTCTATTGTCGTGTCGGTCCACGGGTGGCTGCCTTTCTCAGCGTATACATCTCCCTCAATTTGGTTCAGGTTGGTCCTTGTCATGTTTGCATCATATCCTCTACTCATGGCACGAGCAACAACACTCTCAACAACACTGACCAGCCTTGTGCTCAACTGAGCTAATACCCGCACAAAGCATCTATCCACACTTAGCCAAAATCATAACCCAAAAATAAAACCATAGATCTTTCAATTGATATTTCAAACTTAAAGTTTGCCCACACTCACTTGCTCCACGACATCATCCACCGAAGCCTGATCCCTATCCCCTGATAGTTGTGCCTTCTTGTTAACACCACCAGCAACTCCCTTAGTACTAGGGGATGCTCCTCCCCATACGCAACATCGACGGCCTATCAATTGAAAAAACTGTTACATACGCAATTATCGCCCCGCAAATCAATACAATTACTGTTTATGTCTTACCAAAAGCTTGCCATACTCGTTGGTCGACACTTTATCTTCAAGAAGAGCTGCCTTCACCTCTCCACTGTTCCACACCTTCACCCTTGAGTAAACGCCCCACTTAACGGGAACACGATGCAAGTGATCCAGATAATAAATCTACAAGAAACAAAACAGAAAGTAAATGACTTTGACATCATCAAATTAAGAATGAGTTTCTCATCATCAGACAATAGTAATTGATTTGATATAACAAGATAGCAATTGAACTCTTACAGACAAGCACATATCAAATGACCTCGGCATTTGTAGCATTAAAGGGTTCATCATTTGAACTTCTTACAAACAAACAAATCAGAAAACTATGGCAAATTTTGTTACAAACCCAGTTCAAAAATAACAATCATTGCTTATAATTTTTTTTTTTCAAAGCATGAAAAATAACCTAAGCCAAGCAAGGCAAAAACAATAAACTTTCTGAAAAAAGGACCCTAATAAAGTTTCCAAGCATTCAAGCACTGACATTATTATCTTTCTATCTTACACTTGACGCAATAGGAATTTTATGTCATGGAAATTGTTATGGACTCATTTCTTCACCAAGATTGTTGTCATCTCATATTGGCAACCACTGTTATAGTCACTAAACATAAAACATCTCCAATAAGTGGCAACCACAAACCTAATAGTCACTAAACATAAAATAAACATAAAAACTCATTAGATCCATTTCTTCACAGCTTGCTTCTTATTCCAACTTTTACTCATAATATTCTCTGACCTATTTACCTAAATTAGGAGACTCCAAAAAGACTATGAACATTCTCTGACCTATTTACCAGGAAATAAATTAATGCAACACTCCTACTTAAACACTTAGTCATGTAAAACCAGAAAGTAAAAAGTCTTCGATGTTGAACAATATTTTAGTAGTCGACATTAAAGGAAGTAAGGCTCACCATAACGGACAGAAAACTACCCCCACAACCAGACCTATAACCATCTTTTTAGAAATTCCTTTGAAATCTGTTAGCCGTGTCGCATAGCCATTCGAAATTCATCGAACACCAGTCATACTTGATAGCCTCGGTAGCCACTGTCAATGTTAGAATGAGTGACTTTGGAAAGTTTGAATTATTAGTGGTTGTACAAACCACTTTACCAAGGGCTACAAGTAGAAAGGCTGTCATGAAATCCTCCTCTTCAACTTCGTCTGCAAGGGGAATTGGTTCACCCAATTCATCCAATGGACATAAAGCATCTGAAGCAGATTTCAACGAAATGGTTTCTTTGTTCGCACCAACACCATACACATTATAAGTCCTTCTCATCTTCTGCACCTGCTCCTCATCATTCTCACCAACATCAAAAGGGACTTTTTCAGCACCCATAGGTAACCAAAGTACAAACCTCACTTGAGCAGGACTTAAGGATAAGATCTCACTGTTGCCAAACACCATTGTGCCATCAGGAAGCACTCTTGTCATCAACTGTAGAAATCTAAAAGTGTCTCCCTAAAACCAAACCCAATGATGAACAACCTTTCACCGCCATTATTGGTCGGGTCGAGTATTTAATCTCTAGAGTATTTAAAATCCATATTTAGTCAAACGTATTTAGTCCACAAATCAGTCCAAGCATTTATTCAAACTCATTCCAACCTTCATTTCAGCCCAAACCCTTTTTAATTCATTTCGTTTTATTAATTAAGCCCGATTAATAAACATTAAACCCTAAATAGGTCTGGAACTCTGAAACGACGCCTACTTATCACATGCTTAAATGTTAAGTAAAAGGTTTAAATGAATTTGGACGCAATTTCGGATAACAGAGTTGTCGTGTCACGGCAGAAATGCTGCGCCACGACAATCTCTGTCGTGTCACGGCAAATTGCACCGTGTCACGGCAATTTCTGCCGTGATGCGGCAATTTTCTAGGGTTTCTCCCTGGCGCATTTCAATTCTAGGGTTTCGTGCATCACCCTACTCATTTCCTCTATAAATACAAGGTTGATTTCTCAGTTTTGGGGACCAAACAATTCTCTCTTCCTCTCTTATACACCAAATCATTCTCTCTCTCTCTTATACTCTAGTCTAAACACTAGCCTTCCCTATTCTTTCACCATACATCCCTTAAGCACTCCCCGAAGTCTGTACTTTATCCGAAGTTCCACATGCCAAGGCGTGAAAGGTAAAACCGATTGAGGGTTTGAACCAAATCAACCCTCTACTTTTATTTAAGTTAATTTCAATTTGATTTATATATTTATTGAAGTTACTAACAATTTATTCATGATGTAGCAATTTAAAAAAGCGTGGAACGTGAGTAATTAATTCACTTAATTACTCTTATTATTTTTCTTATTGCTAGTATCATGATTAGGCTTATTATTATGCTTTGATTTGACTAACGTTATTATGGCCGAATTGCTTCCAATGTTATTGTTATTCTATTGTTTATTATTGATCACCATATTGCATGTTAAAGGAAATATGTAATTGAATATAACGCCTAATAAGATAATTTGGATGACCGGTTTAGGTTCCTTTTTAATCTTGTTATTTAATCAAAGTGATCACTAATATTTTAGAATTATATGTTGCATTAACATTCACCAATTTAGCTTAATATAGTTTGGAGCAAATTGAATCTTTGTTTGTATGTCTTTGAGATTGCAGGAATACTTTTCGCTATAAGAATCGAGTAGAGGCCAATACGGGTGAATGTGACTCCATGAATCACTTCGTACCATCATCCCCGATCCTCCTTTCGTGGTTCCAAACCATATAGAGTTAGTAATCTCATGGATTATGAATGGGGTGTAACCTTCACGGGTCAATCGTTGTTGCCTATCGTTGTCCCTTATTCGTTGTTGCCTTATAATGATCCGTGAACGGTTTACAAATTCCTTAAAAACTTGTTGGCGGCTCCCTACTTTGCTTTGTCTCTAATCGTGTCCCTAATAATATGTCAATTCCCACTTTCTATGAGTGTCAAGCATGTTCACAACATGCTTAAGTAGACGCGCTTCGAATGACGCCTACATCAACCTATAGCAAAATTGCCTCGGTATATTTTTCATGTCAAGATCCAGGAGACTTCAGACCCCATTTCTGTCACTAATGCGCGTCTTCTTGGATCAAAACCTTTAACTACTTGGCAGAAGGATTCAACCCTACATACAATGTTGGGGTACTGCTACACACAAAAGGAGGAAGTATACATAAGTAGCCAACCCGCAAACTCTACTCAGTTACATGCACCAAATAAAATTAACTGTTGCAACATCATACCTTTCCGACGTTCTCATGATGGGTCTTCAACACTGCCCCTTCGCTCACCACCTTTTGACCTTCAGTTTTTTCACCCTAGACACATACAAATCATAAACACAAAGTTATTCCGTACTTCAATTTGGATACTAATAGGTATTATTATTCACACTTTGGACTTCTGTGCTACTAATTTATATGATCTCAATTTAGTTTAATTGATTGAACTTGTAATTTAATGTCTAGGTAAGGTGATAAATATACGTACACTAAATGATTTACACTTAACTTGCTTGATTTAATTACACATTATTAGTGAAGATTAGTATGTATTATCTAATCTTCCCCTGCCATTATCAACCATTATCTTCAATAGCTTGACTTAAACAAAAGGCTAAGTCCAATTCTTAGAATACTAAAGCATACTATAAATATATGTGTCTTGGTAAGTATATATTCACTATACCTTTGGCCTTTTCCTCTTTCGACTCTTACTCTTTATGAACCCGATCATCATCTTCATGAACTCAGAGGGAGTGCACGACTCCTCTTCACTATCTTCATTAGAATGGTTATTATTAGAACCATTGTATTCATCATCTTCTCCATCATCCACATTCTCAAAGTTCTTGGGTTGCTTTGGCTTCTTTTTAGGGTTTTTCTTCCCCTTCACTTCAACAACCCCCCCTTACCAAAGGGGTTAGAAGTCGATGGATCCTATTGTAAAAATCATAGAGAAAATTTCAGAATTCACCAACCACATTCAACTAGAATATAAATACAAACACACAACACTAGCTCACCAACACGTGTTTCCAACTCTTCGATCGCACAACTGTCTTCGATCTCATGATTTTCTATTTATAACCTTTTGCAGGGAATACAAACCTGACAATCCCGGGAGAAAATCACAGCTAGTTGTACTTAGCATCATGGATAAAAGCTTCTACCTCAACCAAAGCTACAACCAATACAAAGCTAAAACTCAGCTTTGCACCAAAACCAGAGAACACAATAGTTCTTATCACAAACTCAAAAACACAATTAAATCAAAACAAGGGAAAAAACTGCCTCATCATCATCTCAAAGATTCAAAAGCTCAATTACATCAAAACAAGGGAACATACTAGATCATGTCACAGACTCAATACCTCAATTAAATCAAAATAAGAGGAATCTCAAATAAGGGAACAAACTACTTCATCTCACATATTCATAAGGAATCAAATCAAAAAAAGGGAACGCACTACTTCTTGCCAGATATTCAAAAGCTCATTTATATCAAAATAATCAAAATGAGAGGAACAAATTAGGGGACTTTCTTTTAAAATCACAAACCCCGTCATTCTTTGCCATTTTAAAAACCCACAATTTGGGAAACTTTATAAATCGGCCTTACGAACATCAAATTAGACATAATTCTTACAGTTGTCGCATAATAATACACCCCCTAATAAACCATTTATACAAACCCTAACAACAACAAATCTTCTCACAATTGTAATTGGGGTGCTTAAAATCAACAAAATGTATGTAATTCTTAAACCCTAATACTGATTCGAATTAAACCCAAAACCTCCGAATTTTAAAAACCCTAACTTTTAGGTTAAACGACTACAATGAAATTAACTTTGACAAAGTACTATAATTATTTCATACAGAATTATAAATTTGGGGAAAACTAATAAATTTATAAATACTTCACTATAACTCACATATAATGCTTGAATTCTCGACACAGCAAGCCCAGAAACAAATCTTCAACTCGCAGCGATCGCAAAACACGATGATGGAGATAGAGGAAATGGAAGGAAGGTAGCGAGCCTACTTTCTTAATGGAAGACAGAGTATGTTCGAATGACCATAAAGGGAAGACAGAAAGAGAAGACAGAGAGAGAAGTAAATGGAAGAGAGAGAAAAAATAATCTAATTGTAAGACCATTCTCAGCAGTGAGGAAAAAATAAACCTCTCAATCTCTCTCTACCCACTTTCTCACTCCTCCCATACAATTTCTCTCATCAAATGTTTTTTTCACCACAGCAATGAGGAGAAAAAAAACCTCTCATCACTTTCTCCTCCACTATTTTTTAATTTATTTTTTAATTACGTTTAAAAATAATTTAATAAAAATTTATAATTACGTTTAAAAATATTAATAATACTAACTAGAAATTTTTTTTTATAAGAAATAATTATAATAATAATAATAACAAGAAGAAATTGGGAAAATATGTTAATTTCTCTAATTTATGGGTTTTTTTGAAAGTATATCAAAATACATGTCTATTTATAGAGAAAAAAATTTTATGGTCGTTGGTGAATTTTTTTTTTTTTTAAAAATAATTACAACGGTTATATTTCAAATACAAAATATAACCGTTGTAAAAAAGCAACAAAAGCAGTGGGGCCACATGTTACTGTTCATCACCAAAAGCCCTCAACTCTTGAGGGTTTTTATTTTCACTCATCAATGAGTGTTTTTTCACTCACTGATGTAGTGTTCGGATTTTTTTTTTTACACCCTTATTTTTACTCGTGAGGGCTTTTCTCCTCACTGCTGGGAGTGCTCTAAGGGCATGTGACCAAATACGAATACAAAGACAAGGTGTACAATTCCCCAAATACGCTAAAAAAATACGACGTACTTCTGCAACGAGCTGACAAAAAGCATAACAGGAAGTAAGTTGGATTTCCACTCAAGCATGTGAATTTACAAGCTTGCCCTTCAATATGCATTTGCTATTGCATATCAATACTCCCTTTAGACAACCTTTATATTTTATCATTTATCTCTCTTACTTTAAACCCCACTCAACTTAATTTATCATTTCTCTCTCTTTTATGGTCCCCACTAAAATAATAAAAATATCTATCCTCTCTCACATACTTTCTCTTTCATGGTCCCCACTCACAATATTATATTACTCTTCTAAAACTCCGTGCATTCCCAAGTGATGTAAATAAATAAATAAATAAAAAAACGGAGGGAGTAACACACAACAACTTTGGTGCTGACTCAGCCAAAACGGTCATTTGCCCTTACTATGATAGCAAACATTAGTACTCCCTCTGTTTTTGTGTGTGTGTGTGTATATATATATATATATATAGATTTGCTCATTTCCCGAGACACAACTTTGACCATCAATATTTTTTATTAGAGGTTAATAATTAAAAATTATGAAAAAATTAATTTATAAAAGTAGACATTATGAAAAACCTAACAACATATTACATGATCATATTAATATATTATATATTGGTAAAAAAAAATTGTCAATGATGACATATGAATAGTGGAAAATCCCAACTCTAGCTTAAAAAAAAAAAAAAAAAAAAAAAAAAAAAAAACGCGGAGGGAGTGAAAACCAAATTTGGCTATGTGAAACATAACAAGTCTCTCAAGTTTAGCTTCATTTTCTGAAGAATAAGATAGGTTAAAATTGCAGAGAATGGAAAATCAAACTGTAATGTTGCACATTGGAATTTTCTCTTCAATGCATCAGGTACACTTATATCTAGTTTCGACCCATAGAATGTAGCATGAATTAGCATCTCCCTCGTTTACCTTCCACGGTTTACCAAACTCATTCAGAGCTTCTGCTAGTGTAGCCTTCGCCTTCTCTCATATTCCGTTATCTAATTTGAGAATCTATTTGGTTTTGCTGATAGCTTTAGCTCGTAGCGAAACCTGAATATATATACCACACACACACTTCATTATCCACTTGACTATAATATATGAGCATCATCATGTTGGAATCTGCAGACTCGAGTGATGAGTCCTCTAAGCGCACCACTAGCCTAGCTCATTCCTATAATTCCTGTGTAGCACCCCGAAATCTGCAAACCAGAGAGAAAGTTATCTGTATGAACGCACTCTCCACTCAAACATCCTACAATGTGCAGGACAATTCATCAGCCTAAGCCCAATCTCCTGATCATCACTGTCGAACAGACGAACACGTACAAACATGTTATCCCCATAACTAGCACCATGTCCTGACTTTTCCCACCGTTGCCTGTTAAATATGTATGTTTAATTGGTGTTTAACCTCTTTATATCCTCTCTTTCTATATTCAAATTCCAATAAACTTTATCAACGCATTATATATGTAAGTCCCATTAGGAAGAAAATACCAGCTTAGGACAACTAAGGAGCAAGGACTTAGACGTCAAATCATTTGATATAAGCAAGGCAATAATATATATTGTCATGTGCACGATGTGGTGTACGTACGTACTATAAGCTTGTTACATAGCTCAACACATTACACATTACACATTCGTGGTGTGGTACGTAGTGTGGCTAGGGTCATTAGACATGGCATGACGAGAAGCAGATTGCTCGACTTGGATGGAGAGGAAGAGCATGATTCGCTTTGGAATTTTTCTAGTACAGTGGTATTTTAATTTTCTAGCATGACAGAAGAGTCCTTAACTCCATTGGTACTAAGTTATATTTAGATGATATCATTATGTATCAATAAAGAAATACGAAGTATATTAATCCGGGTTGTCTCAACTATTATGGAGCTGAGGTCCGGCCTGTGCAATTAAGATAAAAGTAGGCCCTCTTTTCAATATAATGTACAATTTTTCCTTGTTTTTGAATAAGTGTTCCGCTTTGACCTTCACGAAAGTTTAAGAGTAAGAATTATTCAATGTATTAAATTATTACAGAAGCGAAATATGTTGGCACAATTATAAAGATGGATTTCTTTTAAAAATGATAAAGAGGTATGGGATATTGGTGGGTAGGAAAATATTAAAAATTTGTTACAATAATTCCAAAATATGGGAATGAAACACTGATTTAAAAAAACGGTTGAAAATAAAAATAAAGCACATTTTTATAAAATGGTGGGAGTATCTAAACCTCTAAATAAGTAGTTCTTTAATTTACTGTTGAATAAGTATCTAAACCTTCAAATAAGTAGGACATGCTACATGTATGGCTCTCACTGTTTCGAACCATGCACCTACTTCACCATGAAGATGCACAGTTACAGCTGAACCACCACTATTATACCACATCATCTTTACAACAAAATATATATATAGGAATTTGAGGCTCCGACCAGTATTGGGCCCTGCACGGTTGCGCTGGCCGCACCGCCTAAAGGTCGGGCCTGATATTGATACCAACACGAGTACGACACGACACGACAATTTATAATTATGTCAAAGTTCAAAATCTTAGTTTAATATTATATTGATGACCTAATGTCAATCAAATTAATATTGGATTTCATAATTAATCGCACGCATCACGTGCACATAAAACTAGTAAGCCCTGAAATAAGTGAATAAGGTAAATAGAACAGGGCCTAAATAATTATACAAGATCAAAGCATAATATATGAATATTTTAAAAATTGAAACGTTGCAAAAAAAAATAAAAAAAAATAAAATAAAAAATAAAATTAAATTAAATTAAAAAAATAAAAAAATTCACGACATGTATTTTAAAACCCATATGGGTTAAGACTTATTTCATGTTAACTTCAAATTAATTCCCTTTTTACAAAACACAATACGATAATGTATATTATCCTCGTTTCACAATAGTTGCATCAATTTGACAATGCATGTTTGTCAAAACTTTACTATTTTGTAAATATACTAATCATTTATATTTGAGATCAAAATAATTATATAAACTAGTTGTTGGGCATAACAATTATTGTGCATAAAATTCATGATTCAATTCTACTTCTATTGATTTATTATTATGTGTCTTTTATTTAGCCTAAAGATCAAGGTATCAAAATCCTTATACATGTCATAAATTTAATGTATGATGAAATATGAAATGGAATAATAACCAACAAAGGAGATTGATGGGATGGTGCCACCTGACATATTCAAAATGTTTATAATATATAGCGTACATATTCAGAATGTTTATAATATATAGTGTAGATATAAATTGTTTCATTCATATTGGTAAACTAAAGATGGTCAAAGTGAATAGGATCACAGGGTCATCACAAAAGGATTAAAACCATGACCAATGTACTTTAGCTCATGGAAAAGCTCACCTATTTGTGCCGTAACAACATAAGGTGCACCTAATTGTATATTGTATATTGCCATTTAATTAGTTTTTATTTTTACTCTAATAGAATTTGGTGAGATGAATAATACTTATTCTATGTCAAAGAGATTTGACTAAAATCCTTTAGTCATCTTCGTTTAAAATTCTTTTAATATGATTGTTTTGGTATATTCTTAATGACACATTAATTTCTTTTGATTGTTTTTAGTATATATTGATTTGCATAATCACTTTTCTCATTTCATTTGTTTGTTAATTTGCATACAGCATACATGGTATAATACTAATTTTTCACATGATTGTTTTTTACTTTCCTTGATTTCAATATAATTCATTGAATCATTCACTACAAATAATTGCAGAGAAGGTAATAAATAAATGTTTTTATCGGGGTCAGAGTTAATTCATAAATAGTCTAAAAGTCAAACCTCACATCATTACAGACATCATATCCAGTAAATAGAAGAAATATATTTTGATATCAAACATATCAATCTACTCAATATCAATTCACTACTAATTACGAATCCACTTTACTCATTTCTAAGCCAAACCAATTCACAAATTCAGATAACTCTCAACCAAGACTCCAAAAATTCAAATTACAAATCACAAACACACGGTTCAATGTACGATCTAGACCGCACTGAAAACAACCCTATTGACATCGACGTAATGCCAACAACTAAAAAAAAAAGACCAGAAACGGAACAAAGAAGAAGAGAACGGCCGGTGGGTACAACGGCCTCCACTAAACAAAACCCAAAACCTCCCAATTCCCAAATTTATAACCAAACTCTTTTCATTCTTTCTTTCTTTCTTTCTTTCTTTCGTTTTCTTTCCTTTTTCTTTTTTTAATTTCTTCACACCAAACACCCCTTTATACATCAACATCTCACCATTACTCCGCCATTTTTACTTCCCTTTCACTTCTTTCTCTGTTCTTCATCACTCCCATTTTTCTCTCTCCTCTTAATAATCAACCCCCAATTTTCATCAAATTCAACACCATTAATTGATTGTACTTCTGGAAATTTTGACAAAAATTTAAATACTATTGCGTTTTGAGTAATCTTAACGCCATTTTTCACGCA